GTCATAGATGCAGATAGCCTGTAATTTACACTGCCACAAATAAAAGATAGCAAATATATTTGAATACATAGCTGGTGAATAACTCACTAGCACATTACTAGAAATTTTGCAGACGGTGATTAGCGATCTATTGGAAGCTAATTATTTATTATATTTGAAGTATACTGTAAAATCCAAGAGACACTTAGAAATAAACAGTAATGATTTATAAGTTGTATCTATAGTGTTTCCCAATTATTTTTGTAATTATTATGACCTCCTTTCCTGGACACAGCTCTTCTGCTTCCTGACAATGCATTATTTACCTTTGTCTTATCTCTAGAGCTGGCAAAGTTACACAATGAATCAGGTTCCCTTAAGCTGCCAATGAGTAGCAATAATTGCCCACTTCTGCAAAGACAAAACCTAATATATTCCAGGAGGTCTTTCCCCTCACAAAAACTTGATCACTTCTCAACACTGCTTGACTATCTGTAAAAGTATCTTAGGAATTTTGCTTAATCAACCGTGCTGGGCTGTTTTCTCAGCTGGTGAAATAATGAGTCTTTTCAAAACTAGAGAGGCGTCACAACAGAATGAATTGCTGCAACAAATACAATGAAGTAAGGCCAAGTAAAAAACCACTCAGATATTACAGAGGTTGTGCCAAAACCTTAGAGGTGTTATATTGTAGGAGAATCACACTTGCTAGTACAACTAAAGAAATGAAGTGGACAGTCCAGCTAAGCCCACTACCACTGCTGTGCTTCTTGGAGCCAGCTATGCCAGTAGGAAATCTGAGGCAAAGATACTTTGATGTCAGTGCTGACAATGAAAGAACAAAGAATTATGATGAAAACCAGATAAACTCTATTAAAAATTTAAATTAAATTAAATTAAATTTTATGCAAACAGTTTGAAAGTTGTAACAGGATTAGTTAGGTTATCAAGGAATCATTCACAGAAAAAGTTATTTAGCTAGGTCTAAGCAGAGTTATGAAGTTCATGTAAGGGGCTCTGAGGTCAAAAGAACTGCCCTGTATTTTTTTTACTTGAAAGGAAATCCATGTACAGCAATATATACAATACTTAACAAAGCTAGGACATTTTGAAACTAAGAGAATGTCTACATGTCTAGAGTATGAATCTTGCAAATATTTAATATACTAGAATACAAATATGATCAATATAAATATAATGAAGATATAATTAAACTTCACATAAAAGAAATGTGATGACATTTTAAGAACTAGTAATTTTATAAGGGAATTATAACATGCATTTTATTTAAAAAGCATGATTACATGAATTTTTAACTATGATGGTCAGGAAAAAGTTTCACTTAATTAAAAAAATCTGTATGCCTTTGGAAATGAGAATAATTATTTAAGTGTGTTTAGAAGCTTAGTGTTAATCAATCAAATATGCATGAATATTACTTCATAATAAGAATAATAATAAAACATAGAATAGTTTGGGTTGGAAGATCACGTAGTTCCAACCCCCCCACCATGGGCAGGGACACCTTTCACTAGACCACATTGCTCAGAGCACCATCCAACGTGGCCTTGAACACTCCCAGGCTTGGGGTATCCATGACTTCTCTGGGCAACCTGGTCCAGTGCCTCACCACTTTCATAGTAAAGATTTATTTCTAACATCTAACCTAAGCCAACACTCTTTCAATTTGAAGCCATTCCCCTTGTCCTATCATTACAGTTCCTGATGAAGAGTCCCTTCTCCAGCTTCCTTGTAGGCCCCTTTCAGATACTGGAAGGCTGCTATGAGGTCTCCACACAACCTCCTCTTCTCCAGGCTGAACATCCACAACTTTCTCAGCCTGTCTTCACAGGAGAGGTGCTCTAGTCCCCTTACCAACTTTATGGTCTCCTCTGGACTTGCTCCTATAGTTCCATGTCCTTTTTATGTTGGGCACACCAGAACTGTGAGCAGTATTCCAGGTGGGGTCTCATGAGAGCTGACTAGAGGGAGAGAATCACCTCCCTTGACCTACCTGCTGGCTACTGTCCTTCTGATGCAGCTCAGAAACTATTCTATTGGCTTTCTGGACTACAAGCACACACTGCTGGCTCGTGCTAAGGTTTTCATCAACCATCACTCCCAAGTTCTTCTCCACAGTGCTGTTCTCAATCACTTCTATATCCAGTCTGTAGATGTGACTAGGATTGAGCCAACCCAGCTGTTGCTGGCTTTGTTGAACTTCATGAGGTTTGCATCGGCCCACCTCTCAAGCCTATCAAGGTCTCTGTGGATGGCATTCCTTCACTCCAGCATGTTGATCACACCACAGATCTCGGTGTCATCAGAGAACTTGCACTCGAGAGAAACCGCACTCGATCCCACTGTCCATGTTGCTGACAAAGATCTTGAACAGTATTGGCCCCACCATCGACCCCTGAGGGACACCACTTGTCACTGGTCTCCATGTGGACAATGAGCCGTTGACTGCATAGACTAAGAGATAATAACAGACTAGTATATTCTCTACCAAAATAAAAACTGTAACAAAACAAAAAGAAATGTATTCCCTCAGTGGCCGCTTAACAGTGTTGTCACATTAAACTCACAATCAGATCATATCATAAAATTGTAATCCTAAATTCTCTAGCTGATTCAATAAAAGATTTAAAAATGGGAATACTTCATAATTTGCTCAGATTTAAACTGTAACTGTTACATGAATGAGTCATCTCACACTCTTATTCTCATTCTTGTCTAGGGTGATACTAATAAAGGATTTTTCTGTCAGATCCAATATGGAAGAATGTAGGATATGTGCTTTCTAATTAAATAAATTATTTATTTATTTATTTTTAAACCAGAGTGTACTTATTTTTGTTTCAAATTCAACATATTCTTGGTCATCTGTTGCTCATAACATTGATTTTCATTCCTCTTGGCATCATACCTGCCAAAGTCAGTTCATATTAATGTCAGGGATGATGTATAAGGAATAAAAAATATGTCTGCATTTAAGCTACTGAGGCTCAGGAGGAAGAAATACAATAATAAATCAGAAGATATCTAAATTCATTTAGAGAAATCCCATCTTGTCCCTGCGACATGGGTAGCCTTTTGTTTCTATGTCTCTGAAGAGTTAATGAATTAGTCAGAGTAGGAGGGAACAGCAGGTATTTATTTAGAAGGCAAATATACCATTAAGTAGCTTGTGATCCAGCAACCAGTATGTGAATATACAAAGACCGGGAATGGCTGTGATGGACTGTGACAAACAGCACAGTGACATGCTGATTGATCTGCAAGCCCAGTGGAGAAGCCAGTCAATACCACGAAAATTCATGAAGTGTTTCTTTCTGCCCGTTTGGCTGACATGCCATTGATGCATGCTGGAGAGCTAATGTCATTAGCCAAGCTGTACAGCAGCATCTGCCACTTCCACAGACTCATCAGTGACACCCATGGGTAAGATAGCATTTGTTTTATGTAGTTGATGACAAACCCAATCAGTGGTTTCTCAGCAATCAGCAGCAGTTTCTCAGGAATCTTGCAAAGACAGAGAAATGTGTGCTCACACAGCAGTACACTCTCATTCTTGCAAATTACACATGCATTGACCTGGTTTACTTTCAGATGTCATTGTCAAGCTTCCGTTCCTCAATCACTGATTTATGCAGAGGAGTTCATACAACACAGTTTCTATATGTAATAGTAATAATCACCTTTTCTCTCTGCTTGTCTGTGTGCACCAACATATACAGTAATTTTCTGAAATTCAGCTATTTATTTTCTCAACATGTAATGAAACCTGGTACATAATAACATAGGAAATGAAACTATACATAATGCTGTAGGAGGGAAAACAGCAGAAAACCAAGACAAAAAAATATAGCAGCAATAAGCAACATGCCTACCTTAATTAAACTCCTGCAATAAATCTTTGAATTTTCTTCCTTAGTGAGATTGATTAATTTAGGAACTATTCCTGATTTCAAGAAATCCACCAGAAAAAACTCTGCCAAAACAGAATCCAACCCACTGTTTTTCCACCTGTTTTCTTTCATACTATCTAAACCTGAACTTAATCATATATACTAGAAGAACAAAATGTGAGATTATATGATTTTCATAGCAGATGAGAAAACTACATCTCTCTAATAATAAGATGTTTTAGAGGAAGAGCACAAAAATCAATCTTGCAGCAGTCTTTCCAGGATAAAACAACAGGAGTTTTCAGTCCCAGAACCTAATTCCCCTGGCGACTGGACTCCTGACATTTTCATAAAAACTCACAGAGTCATCAAGTTAAGACCAAAATCCTGATTTCCATAAAAACTCACAGAGTCATCAAGTTAAGAACAAAAACCCGATGGTAGGTATGAAATTCAAGATGACCTATTTGTCCACGGTTACATTTCTCTCAGTCCCTCACTGACTGAAACTGTCAAGCATGTAGCTTTGAGAGCTAAAAATCTGGTATAAAGACATCACTTAAAAACCTGACCAATACTTTCAGAATTGGATATTATAATTTTCCCCCTAAAGGTCAAATCTCTGAATTAAACAGAATCTCAGAGGATAAAGGTACAAAAATCTACTTCCCAAATTCTCTAGCTGAAATAAAGGGCAATAAAGTTTTTCTTGGTCTGTTAGATGTGTTACAGCAGATAACTTTCAAGATCAGTCTCATTTGATGTGGAAAAGGTTGAACAAATAGAAAGTGTTTAAACAAAAATTATGGACTTTCAAGACTCCTACTGAGGTCACAAAACATTCTGCAGTAGATCAAAAGGCTCTGTTCAGTAAATGGTTGAGGAAGAAAGGCATGAATATAGATGTACCTGTTGGAAAACCACTATCACCACCTCATCACATGCTGAGAGTCAAGATACTACCACATTGCACTGCTGGGCCTTCAAGAGTGTTTGAAGAGCCTTTAGAAGTAAGAAATACCAGTATTGCCTCTGCTTTCAGAATAGAACAGAACAGTTGTTAAATTGCAAAAACATATCACAGAATAAGCTAGAATTTGTGGAGCTTACCTTCCTACGATGGGATGGCACAATAAAATACGTTTCAATATTATGCTTCTTCAAGAAACTATTTCTTTCATGACCATATCCTGGTTCTACCTCATAGTCCCCATTTAGGCACTCTAAGGTGGTCTTTGTAATGTGAACTTTCCTGGAGAGAAAAATCAGACGTTGTTTAAAGTAAAGATACAATATGAGCAAGTTGTTACTGAAATATGTTCCTGTGCAGAAGTTCATAAAGAGGTCAAGTTATGTGCAAAACCACTTTTGATGTAAAAAACAAACAAAAAAGTTTTTGTCTTTTCAGCCAAATAGAACAAAGAAAACTTTCTATTATATGCATTTTCTAAACTTGGGCAAACAGAAGGATAACTATTGACTGTCCAAACATTTGCAGATTTTGCTGATTTGTAGAAACTCTGCACATCATCTTCTATATTGTGTGGCTTTCTTAAGTATTTACCTCACTAGTTGCTTGGAAAAACATCCTGCTGTTTGAAACTTATGACTTCAAATCTCTTTTGAGTATAAAGCAGAAACTTCTTTTTTTGTTTCACTTTACATCTCTGACTTGTGTAATTTACTCGTTTTGTAATTTTGTAATTCACTTTGTTTTGGCAGCACAGCCATCTTTGACACTTATTTGTGAGTTTTCTTATCCTGAAATGTCTTCACATTTTCTCCCAAAAGATTCCTTTTCTATTTGAAATGTCTTCAGAGAAGATATCCAAAAAGATTTTACTGCTTTCCTCTAATAAACATGTCCTCAAATTTTTTTTCACTGGAGAACCTTAAGGTAATGAACATGTAAAACACACTGCCAAAATTATCTAGAGCAGATATACACAACAAAAAGATATTCTACTCATTGTTATCACAAAAATCAAGAGGTTCCATTGTCCTCCTGTGCAGCAAATCATGATCTTGTAAAAACTCTACAGAGAATGGTAGATCCCAGTCCAAATGTGAGCTACACACACAGAAGACCACCCATGCACCTTCGTGAAGGTGCACTGTGTGCATTTAAATTGTGTCCAAGACTGTACAAGTACTTAAAATTCCAGGACATGCCCCATGGGTTGCCTGCAAGTTTGTGTGCTACTGTATCATTTGCAAATGCATCTTTAATATTTGAGTTTTCTTTTCTACAGCACACTACTAGTGTTGAAAATCTTGCCATGCAAAAGGAGTAAGGCACCCCCTCGGTCCCCTACAAGCGCAGAGGTGCAAGAGTAAAAATTTCCTGGTATAGCTAAAGGGTTTTACTTTTGTAATAGGAAATGACGCAAGTTTAGCATTCCTACATTCCATTGCATCTTTCCTACTCTTTATATTTGGCAGCTTCTAATAAGAATTTTGTTTGGAAATGTTTTCCTTCTAATTTAACCTATTGCTTATGTAAATATCTAGATCATCTGGAGAATTCCTCAGGATAAATCACATAATACATTGATTGCTCTTGCCAAACACAATCCTTCTTATCAACAGCAATTACATGCAAATGGCTCAAAGGAGGAAATAAATTATTTAACCCCTACAGTTTTCTATGTCTTTTTCAATGGATTTTTTTGGGGACTTACCCAGGCAGTCCTCCAGCTTCCATTACGTTAGCTAAAGTCACATCATTTGACCAGACATCATATTGCCATTTTCGGAGACCCAGGACCCCACAAAGCACCCTGCCTGTATGCAATCCAACTCTCATGTTGAGATCAACCTCTGTGGCTTCTGCAACAGATCTGGAATGGAGAGCATCAGAATATTAATATTATACTGCTCTTGATTTTCTTTTTCTCTCCTTCTCCCAAAGTTATCATATATATATATATATATATATATCATATATATATATGACTGAATAGACAGGATCTTTTAAAATCACAAACAGTATATTCAGATACTGTACTCTTCCTTCACTAGTTTTTAAAGCCATAATAGTAATTCCAACAAAATAACTTTCTTATATTTTAATATATTCTTATCTTTTAATTACTGTTGAACCAAAATCTCAGTATTTCTAAATTTCTTGATCATTTCTGTAAGAAAAGAGGTATGAAGTGAAGATAGTTAAGAAGGTTAATGTATAAGCAATTATTGCCAATCTACTATGTTCTAATTTGTTAAATTATCCAGTTACAGGAATACAGGACAAAGAAAATTATGAAAGCAATAAATCAGTACAAGAACAGCAGATGAAAAGCGATTATAAACACTAATATCTTTCCAAAGCTCCTGCAAGAGTGGCACAGAAAGCATTTGTAACTATGGCCTTGTACCTGTAAATTAAACCTAATGCTCAGAGATTTTCCTAGTCTAGCTGGAAAAGGAGGAATTAATCAGCAAAGTCATTATAAAAAGCATTTTTATTTTTGCTGCCACAATAAGGAAGCATTCTTCATTTCCATAAATGATTGGCAAGCTATAACTTGCACCCTGGATGGAAAAAGCTACCTTGAGGCTAATAGTCTTATACATTACATGCGGAGATAGCACTGTAGATAGATATTTTCAGCTCTTTCTGTTACAAAAACATGTGGCATTCCACAGTTCAGTTGCAGTACAAAGAGAGATAATATTGGGGAATAAAGGAAACTCTCTAATCAGTGTAAGACTTGATTTTCAGTAGTTTTTCTTAATTTGAATTTTCCAATGCATTTAATAGAAGACCTAAACTGAGACTCTAGCTATAATTTTCCCTCGATGTTCATTGATCAATTTTTTTTTTTGAAGTATCATCCAACTATGCTGGATTTGGCAAAGATGACTTTTCAACTACTTCAAGAGTTGTACTTGTTTAAATACAATTAATAGAAAGGTCATCTTATGTCAAGATGTGGGATGTGCAGCACAAGATACCTGACCTCAATTTAAATAGGAAAGCACTGAATCTATGAAGTGCTGAAGAATATACCATGCCAGCCATCACTAATGTAAGCAACATGGAGATCTCTTTTGTCCCCATAGGGAATCTGGGCATAACACATTTTTCAGTCATATTTTATGCAACAGCCCAGGAAGGCCTATGCACAGTTTTGAAAGATTAAATATTTCCTTGTCCTATTTCTACTCACTGCAAGTCAGCTTTCCTTTATTCAATATCTGTTCCCAGTCAAGCCTCAAATACAACTCCAAGGAGGCCTAAAAGGAATCTAGTGTTACAGGGCTCTGTTGTGCACACTGTCCATCTGACACAGCTTTGAGGAAATGAATGGATACCTCAATCTTTGTATCTTTACCTGTACATGTGTATTGTGTCATTAACAGATTGACCTTACACCAAGACCACATGCTGCAAGACAAAGCCCTGCAGGACTACACCTTGCTTGTCTGTTCTCCTGTATAACTAAGTACCTATGTAATTATCTTAACTAATGAATCTGCAAGTGTGTGAATTTCTCTGTTCACAAATGAGTGAGGGTTTTTTGTTGGGTCCCCTCCTTTCTCCACTATTTAAAAAACTGTATAAAACCTCAGACTAAGCGTAAGCAGAAAGACAGTGAAATTCAGACACTGATAAAGTCCACTCCAGACCTTTAACATTGCTTTGTCCTAACTGGCTTTAGTGAGTGGGGGAAATTAAATCTGCTTTTATAAATTTGAATAGAATAACAAAAAGTACATGAAAAGAAATTAGACGAGAAATACAGCATAGCTGACCATATTCCTCGTTAAATAAGTCTGAACTGTATAATGCATCAATGAACTATAAAACAGAATCTGAAAACACTTCATGTTTTGAGCAAAAGATTTCCAGATGTAGTCACTTAGTAAAAAATCTAAATTGAAAATGCATTTCTACATCTTCCCCAGAAGCTACAATATGTTTTAGGGATGCTTTCACCATTATTAAATTTGAGTAGGAAAAAAGTTCATGAGCAGTTCATTAAATTTTTTAATTTATCTTGAAGACCTGTGTGACCTTTATGCAGATAAATTTCCATGAATATACCTCACTGAACTATAAAAAATGAGGAATATTAAGTAATATAAAAAGAACAGACTTCACATAAAAATTCAGAGCAGTACCATGATCATATTCCCAAACAACACCAACATTTCCAAAAAAAATCACAAAAATGTCCAATGAAGCATTTTAAATTATAAATACATTTCTGAAAAAATACCAGCACTACACAAACAAGACATGAATAGGAAAAAGAAGTTTCTCAAATAAATTATTCATTATGACTTTTTCTCTCATAGATTCAAATACAATATACTCAAAAGTTTTCCAAATGTTAACACAAAAGCAGGCCCAGAAACAAATGAAAATCAAAACCCAGTTTCTTTTTAAACCAGATGCATGTAGAGTCTATGTGAGTGACTAATAAGATAACCATCTATCCTGACAGCTCAAGTATCCTACAAGGCCTTTAAATTTTAGTTCTCTCCTTAGCTACAAATATTTCATGTGATGCTACAAGCCATCAAAGTAATTTAAATCATCTGCAGAACAGCTCCAAACCTATGCTCCTGAGCATTTGAAGGGGGAGAAAAAAAGCCCTGGATCCCATTTCTTATAATTATTTAGGGCTTTTCTTTAGGACTAAAAATACCTGCATAGAAATAGATGTTTCCTGGTTGAAGGCATAGATATGATTTTTGGTTCAATTACATACACTTTCCCCGAGTGTTGCTCAGCTGCAGCGTGGCAGCAGAGCACTAGGAGAGAGAGTCTGGGCTGTGAAGGGCTGCTAGAGGTGCAAGCTGACTAAGCTTTCACCACTGGTAGACAGCTTCCTCCATTGCTAAAAAGGCAGCTGCTGGTTCTCCCAGAACTCAAGGTCAATTTACTCCTACCAGTTCAAATTTTTCCAGGCCTGGAACCTCTGGAGGACATGGGGAAAAACTTCAACAGTGTTGACATCAGGAAAGTTAATGCTTCTGTCTCTTTCCTCATACAAAATATTACACAGGAAAACTTGGTATTTCCATTTGACTTCCTCAAACTGGCAACTGTAGTTCCTCTCCCTTCCCCTTGGTCATCTGATGACCAAACCCATAAAAAGAAGACAATTTGAGCATCAACTTCCCTACTGCCCACTGCAACCAAGCAGCAACACAATGTGCAGGTGCAAAATAAGCCCAATTTCCATAAGTGAGGTCTTACATGACAACTGGTGGAGTCATCTGTATGGGATAAAAACACCTATATGACACAGAAAAGCTGATAAACCCCACTGGGATGCCCAGTTCTCAAGGAGCAAGGGTTCACAGACACTTTCCTTCAGACCTCTTCAAAGAGGGCCACATGCAGCAGGAACATTCAATCAGAAGGTCAGATGAGACTTATTCTAAAGTAATCCTCCCCCTTCTCTCCACTGTAATACATGTAGGTTAAACTGAAGCAGTCAGCAGCAGCTGCTGTGATCTACAGATATGCTCCTATCATGCCATGCAACTGCTACTGTACACATAGCCAGTGATGCACTAGAGGTGCAACCTAGTAAGACATCAAGGGAAGAAATAACATGAAAATTTACTGCCTATGTGACAATGGGAATGATTACTGGATCCCATTAAAGTTTTGAGAAGTTTATTAATGTTAACCCTAGTATTTTGACCCAGTCTAAAATCTAGAATTTATATGCTGTTCACTCAGATTCTCTCTTTATTTCCAACTGGAAACATTATGGATCAGTTTTTTCCCCTCTAGTGTTATTGAATGCATTTAAATTTCTCCCTCATTTCATCATGTTTCATCTCCTAAGAGGAATTTTTGGACTGAACTGAAGAATTGTTTAACATAATTTATATCCATTGATGAAGTGCTCTGTAAGGAAAGATAAACTATTATTAAGAATGTGTAAATCTGCCCCCATAACACTAGCTTAAACAAGAATTCCACACAGTTTTTGGAAGAGAGAGAGAGGGAAGAGCTTGGTTATCTAGGCAAAGCTTTTCTACGTAGCAATTAGCTATCAAATACATCTGTTTACAATGTAAAACACAGTAGCACATAAGACTGGAACCTTCAAATGTGGCAGTCAATTTAAGTAACATGAAGAGAGTACTTGGCCTAACACACTGGTCATAGCCAAGGTTAGGACAACATCTGCCATGTTAGACCAATAAGACGTATTAGAGGTTCTAATGTTAGATTTTAATTTTAATTTAAAATTTCAATTATATTACTGACGAAAACCTGACATTTGAAATTCATATAGTGAAAGCAAAATTGGTAGTATGAAACATTTAACTCCACTTACTGCCTTGGTGGTTTAAGTGACACTAAAGTGGAAAAAACACCTGGTCTGTACTGTAGCACTGACACAATGGCAGCAGATATTCTTTTGGAATAGAAACAGAAGGTAATACTATCTGTTTTGTTGGGGTTTTGAGAAAAAAGGAGGTCATCCCATAATGATTCTAGTCTGACCTTAACTGTGCCCTTGAAGAAAACACTTTGAAGAAGGCAGATGAACTCGTGAAAATAATTTTTTTTTAATACTTTGAAAATTATGTTCTCAGATGATACTCAGGGTACTATATTGCAGGATACTTTAATAACAGTTACACAGCACATGAAGTGAATGGAATGTATCAATTTATATGAACACATTATAACATTCAACCCAGTCCAATCACAGAACCACCAACCAGGCACCAGAAGTTTCTATTCTTTGATTTTACAGAAAAAACCCCACATCTTGGTGGTAACGTATTTTATAACACTTCTTAAGGCCAAGGCTTTCTTATAAGTGGAGTATCCATATACTGCTGAAAGAATACACATATTCTTTGGGGATTTTATAGTATCATGGACTATCATAAATTATAGATTCATAGATTACAAAGTATTTTACCAATTTTACAGTGTTTACAAACATGCTGAACTTGCATTGAATGAGGGAGAATATGGATTCATTTACTCAACTCTTCACACTCAGAGATATAACATGTTTAGCAAATGAAAAGGACAAGCTTCTGACAGTGAAGTAGGAATGCAACACTTTATTTTCTATTTGTTTGATTATTAGGCTTTGTTTATCAGTCCCATGAGATGCAAAGTCACTTTTTTTTTTACTTCCCCCTTTCATCCAGAGATGGATACCAGCTGGTAGTCTTCTCAATATTATAATAAAAACACATGGATTGATCTAGAATTGAGAAATAGCCTCTGATTGCTTTAAGTACTTCTTCCTTTTTTGTATGCTTTCAAGCCCTCTGCAAAGAAACATCAGTGAATCCAGAAAAGTTTAAGTAGGTAAAATGTTCCAAATAAAAACTGCATAATTTGAATTCATAAGCTTTATGATTGCTTATTTTATTTTTTCATTATTTTTTTTTAAATTGAGATTACACTACGTTCTGTTCACCTTCACAGAGAAGGCAGGTCCTCTCTGTGTACAATGGAAAAACTTGGGGATTAACTGAGGGGAAGAACCGTGAGCCAGCTCCATATTCCCAGCAGTCCAGATGACAAAAGAGAGCAAGAATACCTGGCTAATTGCAACAGTGGTCAAACACTTTCCAGTACAGAACAGGCTAAGGCCCCTGATGTGAAACACCTGTCCAAGCTCATTTTTAACATAATAGTACTGTGCTATTTACAGTATTTAATTATACACAGATATTAATACAGGTGCACATTCCCTCCTATAGCCTCCTGGTAAAGCACATACACACACTCCCACAAACACAGAGCAATACAGTAGTGAAGAAAATTGCCATCTTTATCCTTTCCCTCCTATGCAATGAAATAGATCTCCAGATCTCATGAAAAGCTTATTCACAGTTCTGTAATATTCATACTTTTTTCCTTAGCAAAATAATGATCAATGCAGACCTCTCAAGCATAAAAAAAAAAGTCTTCTGAGCAGCAAAGCAAATTTCACGTTACATTTCTGAAAAGCAGAATAAATGAAAGGTTTAAACATGACATACAAAAAGGAGTTATCAGCAAGCTAAGTTTTTGAGACTACAAACACATATACAACAGGTATACATCAGGACTGGTTTCAGGTTTACATACTGGTGTGCAAAATCTGCTATGTTTATCACTGCAAAACAAGAAATTTGACTCCTTTCTTTGTGGCAATTAGCAATAGGTATATTTTGTTATTTCCCAGCATCTTCCTGCCACCTGATCAGTATGTGTATGTGCCTTTATATACTCATCCTATTGCACTTACTCCTTACAGTCATTAAATGGAGTGGAAAATCAGTGTCTAGAATGACCCTTCCTAAAAGCAGTATCCTGTGACCTGAATGCAAGAGTGTGAATTGCCAGATTGGCAATGCTAGCAGAAACTGATGTTTTTCTACTAACACACTTCCTGAACACCATGTAGAAGTTGTTGCAGCACTCCTTTCTGGATTCACTGTGCGTGGTACTTACGTGATGGTGTCAATCATATCCAGTCCCATTTCGACACAGCAGTGGGCGTGATCTGTTTTGGGCTGGGTCAATCCTGATACACAGTAGTAACAGTCCCCTAGGATTTTTATTCTTCTGCAATGATTTTCCTTTCATAAAAAGAGAATGGGAAAAGTTTTACTGTTCATATAAATATTCCAACATTAACAGGGTAAAATCTTCTCTAATACCATGCAATCATTCAGGGAATGTTTTTGTGGTCAAATGAAGCGATTGGCAGTTCATGAAATCTGGGTTCCCCAAACACAACAGCTGACATACACACGTTTTTTAATTTATTTATAAATACACACATATATACTGGGTATCAGCCCTGCACTGTTCAACACACATGGGAGTTAACACTGCTTAAAACCATAGTTCTGAACAAATATTATTGCCTTGCCTGCATGCTAGGTCAGTATGAATTCGAGATTTGCAGTGAGACTTCATTTCTCTATGAACCCAAACCAAAGGACAGAAACCAAACTACTACTGAATATCAGGAAATGTTTGCACTCTGGGAAGCTTTTATTTCAAATTTAGTTCAAATTTAACATGAAAGACTATGTATTTATCTGCAAAGGTACACACATTTGTACATTATCAATTCATAAATGACAATTTACAATACAGTATGATTAGTATGACAGACTTGCTGATCAGAAGCTACAGTCAGTTTGCATTACCATCAAATTTATCTCATGTTTGCATGAAATTTAATTTCTACAGCCAAAGATATCTGGCTAAATCTCTCTCATTTTAAAAAACCAATCATGACATGTGATAATTGCCACATCAGTCTGAGCAGGAAATTCATTTCCAAACATAACAAAATGTCTTTAAGAAAGCAGTAACTTTAACTAGTAAACTATGAGGAGACCTGAGGAGATGATATCTTTTGTAACTAGACTATGGCAACTTCTACCCATTTAGATTTTGTTACAGAAAAATAAGTAAACTTAATAAATGAATCCTACTTACACAGCTGGGACTATGCCAGTAAGACCTGCAAAATTAACTATTATGAATATGATGGGAGGGGACTAGAAAAAATTTGATGCCTTCCCCAGCAGTATTCTATACAGGCTTGACTTCAGCAACACAGAAAGGGGAAAAAAAGAGCAGTGGTGATGATGGAATTTAAAATTTCTGGAAAAAACCCACTCTAATCATAGAATCATACTTGTTCAGTTTCTCATACAGGTACATATTCTCATCCGGTTTCCTGTCGACAAGAATTGAAGGCTTTCTGAGTGGACAACACTCTTCACATCATTACCCATACTCCAGCTCAGAAACAGTGGTTATGCCTACGGTGATCTTTTTCTCTCTGAAATGTCACAATGTATACCAGCATTTGGGGCTCATCCACACTCTTCCAGCAGCAGGCATTCACAACCCTCCTTGTTGTGATGGTACTGAGTATTGAACAAATACTATATAATGAGAATTACCTCTGTTTACACACGGAAGAAGTTATGCTACCACTGTTTGGGACAATTAGTTTGTCTATTTGTTTTATAAATTAAGCAACAAATCCAGATATCAAATCAAAGAAGAGATCTGTCTTTATGGGTATGCTTAAGTAGTAGAAAAGGCTTTTCCAATAGTGTCTACTTAACATTTCTTCTGCTGTACAGTAGGATTTTAAATATAACCCTAATTATCATTGCTAATACATATTTTAATAAATATAAGCATATTTTAAAAGGATTATCACCAGGGCCTTAAGAGTATTTCCACAGCCTACAGTCAAGAAGTGCCTCACCAGTTTTACCTAGACTTTTTTGAGATGCCTAGCTAAGTGGTATTATATAAGTAAAATTATTATTGATGCATACAAAGTAATATGCAGATCTCAAAATCTATCTTGACACAAAATAGCCCTTCTAATTAAAGTTTTTTGGAGAGAAACCACTATGTGATTTAATATAAACCAAAAAGATTTTTACTAGATAGCACTAATTTATACTGTCAAAATAAGCCTTTTTTTTTTAAATTAATTTATTTGTTTATTTTATTTTGGGCAAATCTTGAATCAGTAGAGGGTTCTCAGTAGTTAAAGCTGAAACCTGCTTTCCAAAATAAATCCAATTTTGTCCCACACTTTAAAATCTTCTATAAGGCTCTTTTCATCTTCACATTTGGTATGCATGATTTGTGGCCAGGCAATGTCTATTTTACCCATAGGAAAGCTATTCATAAAAACCATATCAGTAACCCAGGGTTAACAATACATACATGTTAATCAATCAGTGATTTCTCTTAATAGTGACTCATTTCTAACAACTTGGTAAAAGCCTGGTAGACAGTTTAACAAAATAAAAAAAAAAACACAACAAAAAAACTAGAGCTTAATCCATTAACAGTTTTCCAATTCAATGTATTGTTTATACAGAAGAGAAATAAAAGAAAATAATTGTGACACTTTTTTCTGGAAAAATAGTTATATTGATGGAAGACGTATGGCTAAATAATCACTCTGCTTGTTCCTTATCAGATGTTATCCTCACTGTCCTCATTTTTAATAGTTAATTAATATACAGTAAACTCTAGAAAAATTGTTTGTTTTCTTCTTCTTGAAATGTGAGGCAGATTTCCAGGAAAGAGTCACAATGTAGTTTTGTAAAAGCAATCTTTTTAAGAATTGATATGCAAATTAATAAAACAAACCCTTTCTCTCTCATTTTGTTTCCTCAGCAACTTCCAAAGACACTCATGACTCATCAGTATTCTTCACATTTGTGACAGTGTAGAATTCAAGTATTTAGTTACAAATTCTAGTCACAATTGATAGAAGCAACGTCTGTTTAGAAACAGCTGATAATTTCATTTTATATACATGATATAAAGCACTAGAGATTGCTAGCATTGCATTAGCCAGGCAGCTTGCCCACCTGCAGTGCCTTACTAAGACATTTCCGAGTGGATCTGGAGAAATCCCTCCAGCACAACTGTCCGTCATAGGGTTTGTCAGTGTGTAGTGCAAGCCCAGCTTGGAAAGCAGAGGATACTTCAAGTTGCTAAGAGCTTTCTTTACACTTTCAGACAAGCACTTTATAAAGCAGTTCATTCTACGATCTGCGAGGTGGAAAAAAGGAGCAGGGGGAGGTTTCTGTTTCAAACAACTGGGTTTTTGCTGTTGTTGAAGTTCTTTATTTAATGCATTTTGCAGAAAGAGTGAAGTCTGTCAACTTAGACTGAAATACTGAGAATTCAGACCATTAACTCCACATTCTTGTACTACAGAAGTCAAATGTTGTTTTGTATACTCAGGATATAGTTATTTTGTAATAAAAAGGGCAAAGATTTTACAGTTGGTAAAAAAGTTTTTTATATATACGTGTGTGTGTATATATATATATATATATAGGTTGTCTCAAAGAAATAGAAAAGAAGCTGTCAGACTTCTCCCAGTAAAAGGCATAAGCATAAGCAGATGTTCTCTATAAGAGAGAGATTGTACTGAATAAGTGCAAAGTCTTCTAAAGGAGGATCTTTCTCAGATATCAGATTGCAACAATCCTTGTTGTCACTGCTGGGATTGTTGCCTTTTTTTTTTTTTTCTAACAGGTTATCTAAGTAAGTTTTACATGAACAGATCCAAAGTCAGGATCAATTCTTGTTACTTGTAATGTTGTCTGGTAGCAGAAGAGCCTCTTTAAAGCTTTTATTTTAGAGATGGCAGACACTAATGCTGGAAAGAGACCCTGGTCTTCCTTCTGTCACTGCAACAATCTATATATTTCTACATCGTCATGTGTTATCATGTTATGTGACATCTATCAAAGTGAGCCAAAAAGGAAGGTCAGACTTCAATTTTAAAAAGCAAGATTTTAAAAGCTAAATGCTGAGCTCTGTCTCGTAACTCCACTAACTGCAGTGGAATTGTACAAAGGGTGAATCCTACCTTGTGTGACTTAATTGCAATATATTTTATGCTTATTATATACACCCATATCTTTGTCAGCAAGCCTGCTAGCAATCTGATTTGCAGCTATGCTTTTCAGACTTTTACTATCCTACCCTCCTGGAATCAAAATCTATACATAGGAGGGAATTTAATTATCCATAAATTAGAAAGACACCTTTTTGCCATTCCTAATAAAAACTGCATCACCTAAGGTACATAAAAAGGTTCTTTACCATATCCAGTCAATTTGGATTTAGTTATGCTTTGCAGAGTAAGAGAAAAGATTAATAAGGCCTACAAAAAATGCATAAGCAGTGATTCCCATTTCCCCTAACTCAGACCCTACCAGTCTTACGCTCCCTCAGAATGGTGTGGACATGAGCAATGATAACATTTCATTTTCTTTAGGCCAGAAAAAGGAGTTTGGTCACTATCTGCAATGCTTAGTGATTGCAAAGTTAGAGTCTTAAAGAGAAAAAGAGAAAATAGAAAACTAAAACCAACACATGTTCAGGTTCAGCTATTTAAATGTTTGGGCAAAAGGGAGGAGATTTATTAGGTCTGGACTTAGATAAGGCTTCAGCATCCTCACTATATCTCAGACTTCAGCACTAGGGAGATCTCTGGATATTGTCCCTGCATAGCTGCAAATTAGTACAAGAGCAGCACTACATATAGCAGAGGAGTGGGAGGAGATGGATGCACTGGCAGTAAAGGAAACAGCCCTTGAGCTCAAAACCCCTTCATGCCTTCCCCCTCCATTCACTGCCTGAAGCTGTTTGAATCTGTCGGGGGGAAAAAATTGCCTGACTCACTGAAAAAAATCAGTTAACTCAATGTTTTCTTCACATGAAGAGAAGCCTTGGGCAGAGGGAAACTTCTAAATGCAAATCTCTGATAGCTCAGTTTTCACTGAGAGTAGAATTAATTCTGGGAGGAAGTGGTGAACTGGGAGAGCTGAAGAAGGATTACGGACTAGTTTCCTAGCTCTCCTGTCAACAGTTTCATCACTGGGGCCAGCCAGTGCCATAGAGGGGCATGGTCACCTTCCCTTACAAATGTTCAACGAGCCAAAAGGAAGATCAGTGACCTCAAGGAAAGGATGCATCACAGCGGTACTTCTGTGTTTCTTTCCTTTTCGCATTTGTTTTCTTTTTCTTACTTCTTGGATTATCAGTAATTTTCATTTGGAAA